TGCAAGCAGGGATGCAAACCTCTGAATAAAATAACAAGTGTAGAAAAGATCCATTTGTGAATTCGAATGAAGTTAAGATTTCTTTAGTATTGTTGTTGGGGAGGAAGGGGTCATCGTTAGTTTTCTACAATAACTCGTACATATTTTCTCATAGCAAAGTTTCCCACACATCTCTCTATCGAACTGCGCAGGTACAAAGCTTTTATGATGAATGGAGAACGGACAAAATTTCGAAAAATTTAAGACGAATTAAGAAGGTTTTTCAAGCACCTTATGGCTTGTTTCGCTCAAAGCTAAATGCATTTACATTAAATTGTGCGAGGAGGGAAGATTTCCTCTTTTTGCCAGAGAAGCCACCATAAGAAGCGCAAAATACTCGATTTGTTATACCGGGGCTTAATTTCGTGAGCATAATTCCAGCTGATGGGTTTTCAGCTAAATGCTTGATTAAAGGAACCGAGACATAGCTCCTCTCGTTATTTTTACAATAGAAAAGCTGGCGACTTCTCTCGCAAAACAATAACGCAGAGTAAAAAAAGCCGCAATACATACGTGTTTGACAGTAAGTTCCTGTCCAATAGGAGTTGCACGTACAATGATTTGGATAGTTATAGCCACTGGCACTAGCTGTACAAGTACCAGCGTTGATGCAAGCCGGTGAACATACAGCTAAAAAGGGAGAAAATTATAGATTTTCTTCAGTAGATATGTGTTTTCGTAAGGAAAACGACTGTCTACGCACTCGTTTGACAATACGTTCCTGTCCAATAAGCATTACAAGTACAAGTATTTGGATTTGTTGGTCCATTGGTACCAACTGTACACGTTCCACCATTGATGCAAGCAGGCGAGCAAACCTCTGAATAAAATAACAAGTGTAGAAAAGATCCGTTTGTGAATTCGGGTAAAGTTAAGATTTCTTTTGTATTGTTGTTGTGGAGTTTTCTTAAAGCCATGAAGGTTGAATACAGCTTATTTCACTTACGTGTTTGGCAATAATTTCCTGTCCAGTAGGAGTTGCATACACAGTAGTTCGGATAGTTATAACCGCTGAAACCGCGCATACATGTTCCAGCATTGCTGCAAGCCGGAGAACACACAGCTATATGAAAGAAACAACAACGGCAATAACAACTGATTTTCATGCACTGAGCTGTCAGTCCATGAAACAGTAGCCACTCTCTGTCCAATACGGATCCAATAAAATATCCTCTATTAATAATGTGTGTTGCAGGAAAAAATCCGCATGTATGACTTTGAATACTGAGCAACGTTATCAAAATGTCGTTCGGGAAAATAGCTCCTGATTCTTGGTTAGTGGATAATCGGTAGTTTGAACAAGATACAGAGAAATCCGTCATGGTCTCGTTTCGCGAATGAAGACCAAAAGAGAAGAAAGTGAATAATTTTTCCATTTATGATTACTATATGTAGTTGATGATGCTGATACCAACTATGAACATCAGAGTTATCTTTAATATTTTGTTGACCCCTTTTCTGCAAACTGGATCGTTAGCAAACTAGGGACATAATCCAGAAAATTTTTCTACATCTGCCATTTTGTAGAGGGTACAAAACTGTCGATGTTCCGTTTTTCGAAACAAAAGTTAACAGTGTAGGAAAATTTTCCAAAAGTGCGGCTACGCTGTTTTTCGTGGTAAAATATTCCCGTAGAATACTTTGCAAAAATCATAGCAGCGTTGAGCGTTATGTTGAAAAACCCAAACTTAAAATATATGGACAATTTTAAGTCCTCTAGAAAATGGCCGATTCAGAAAAATTTTCTGAATTTTGTTTCTGATTTTATGAAGATGCAGGTTTCAAAATACATGTCAGCAAAGGTTTAAGGGCAACTCTGATGTTCATATTTGGAATCAGCGTCATGAATCACATATAGTTCACTGAGTTCCGTCGAAAAGACGATTTTCGACTTGGAGTCCTTTCCTCGTTAGGTCTGATCTCGATATTAAGCCAAATAGTTTTTACAGAGTAAGAGCGATCTCAACTCTCAAAAACGTTTCTCTAAGAAGTTATTCTTCAAAGTTTTCTCACGGAAAAAGAAATTCATTGGACTGCTTTGCCATCTTGCAGCCGAGACAAAATTTTCTGATTCTCGTCGCTTCATCATGGGTAGGGCAATCAACACCGGATGCAAATTCTGTTTTGAATTGTAAAGATGTTGTTTCGTTCTCAATAAGCAGGCATTTCCAAAGTTTTGAAAATATTGCTGTTTTTCACGTACTAATTTAGCACTTCCGCCATAAATACGAGATATTTTCGAAAACGGAGATAGTTATCCCTTTAGTTTCAATTATTTTATTAATGTTAAATATGTTTGTTCTAATCGCTAAGGTTTTCAAGTTATATGGGGCGAACGACAGACTCGTTTTTCGTTGTTATGGCTCCTGATCCTTACGGTAAACTGATGCCATGATAGATTTTCTCTAACTCATCGAGTTATATCTTTGTTGAAAACTTCATCGCACTATAGTCAAACCTATTCGTCAGAAGCGCTGGAAAGCATCTCTCGGAATCCATCAAGTCCATAACGATATACGTACAGAGTTACAATCGAAAAGAGCATTTTTCGTCTCCATGATCTAGGTTATGTAAACTCAAAGCAAGGAAAGCATGAGAATCTGTTGAAACAAAAAGTCTTTTTCGTTTTTAAACATAATAGCATAATAAGTAAGAACCTTAATTAGTGCGCGCCACAGAATTAATAAAAACTACTTTGCAGTTCATAAATCAAAATTAGTAACCTCTGCCGTACTTATGAGCTACAGCTACCACTAGCAAGCTATTGATTTCTTCACTCACGTGTTTGACAGTAGGATCCAGTCCAGTATGAGGTGCATGTGCAGGAATTCGGATTTGTTGGCCCAGCAGCAGCTGCAGTGCACGTTCCACCGTTAATGCAAGGTGGGTAACAAACAGTTGTTTGACAGAAAGCACCGGTCCAGTAACTATTGCAGGTGCATGTTTGAGGAGCTGTACATGTCCCTCCGTTGAGACATGTAGCCGTTGGAGCGACATAGGAGCCCTCCGATCCTGCGGTCGGTAGACAAATTGGCGTTTGACAATAAGATCCTGTGTAACCAGTTACACAATTACAGATATTAGGCCCAGCACAGGTTCCACCATTTGAGCAAGCAGTTTGACAGAGTGCTTAAAAGTACAGGCAAGGTTTAATATTTTTCGTGTTTCGAACCATGCTGACAGCGCTCACATGTTTCGCACAAGGAACCAGTCCAATCTGGATAACAACTGCAGGTGTTGGGCGCTGTACAATTGCCGTAATTTAGGCACGATGGGCTGCACACTGGTGTGGCGCATAAATATCCTGTCCATAATGACGTACAAGTGCATAGTTGGGGAGCAGTACACGTTCCGTTATGTAGACAGACTGGACTGCAGATCGCTAAAACGATGAAAGTACTTGAAGAAGCTTGTCGTTCGAGTATAGTTTAAATGTACTGAAATAGAATTATATTTTATCAGGGAATAGTCGTTATACTTCAAGGTAAAGCAAGAATGTAGAAAACGTGGTAAAAACCAAAGATTTAAAGAGCTGATTAGTATATAAGCCAGAAAGGAAGCTCAGTTTAACTTAAGAAGTCTATGGAGGACACTTGGCTTTCAAACCGAAAAAAGGTTTTGTAAAGTTATTGCCGTTGAGCGTGGTGCAATTATAAAAGCTACTGTCAAGTCATTCACCATACTAAAACATATACTAACGTGTTTGACATTGGGCTCCCGTATACGAACCAGCGATGCATGTACAACTGTTGGGTGCTAAAAAAAAGAACTATTGACAAAACGACAGATGTGATTTTTTAACAATAAAAGCAAATACCGGTACAGTTTCCTCCATTGAGACAAGGACTGTTGCAAACCGCTAAAAGTTTTTGAGTATGATTAAATTACTGGCGTTCAGTCAACTACAGTCACTTACGGGTTGCGCAAGTTGTGCCGGTCCATTGTGATGTACAATTACATGTTGCAGGCGCCGAACAGCTACCACCGTTTAAACATGGGTTCGAGCACACCGCTAAATATAGGAACATCAGATGGCAAAAATATCAATGACTCCAAAACAGTCCAGTAGAGCAAACAGACGCTTCCCTAGTGAACAACTAGACGACCTGGTCTTGGACATCAGCGTACTGATCAGACAAGCACTGACTCTCTTTTTACATTTCAGTTCCTGATCTTTTGGGTTTTACTCTGTTTCTGGTAAGAAAATCAGTCAAAATAGTTGCATGACCACTGAAGTCAGTGTCCTGCTCGGTAAAAAAGAAACCGAAATTCAGTATGCAGAAAAGAATAGCAACTAGCTCTAGCTATACAAACAATTTTATTTGAAATTTTAATTGAAATCAATAAGTAAAGAATGTAAAAGGAAAAACTGATTTGATGACCATCCAGAGAAATTTTAGTGCATACTGTATGTTTGTAACCAGAATAAAAGTATTCAATGTGTAATTATTTGGGTTTCTGTATTTATTTTCTTCCTCATTTATTAATTTACTTTAAAACAGACAGCGCGGTTCCGTCGAGCATTGTTCAAGAGGGCCATAACATGACCAAAAGTGACATATACTTTTGATGATCTTATTCGATTTTACAATCAAAACTAGAGTTATGAATAAATTGTTCGCCTCTTCAGACTTGATCTGACCGAGTTATAGAATTTACAAAGTTAGCACCAGCGATAATTTGTGAAAATGAGGCATCTCTAGAACTTTGACTATAACTCAGTAGAATTTTATCTGTTCTGTTCGTGCAATATTTCATTCGAAAGCCTGATAGAAACTGAACACTTTCACGGAGTTTCTCATGTTTTTAAGTTACCTTACCATGGTGGAAAAAGTCTTTTCCAAAAATTCCTGTTTTCCTCAACCCCTTTTTTCAACGGATAGCAAGTTTATGGAGAGACAAAGAGATGCCGAAAATTCTCACTACTTGCATTTTATAGAGAATTTAATGGGCTACAAAATCTTATAAAAACTGTACCAATAAAAGTACAAGGTCGGGTTAAAATTTTACAAATAATATGGCCGACTGGCGCTAATTTTCCAACCGTTTCCACCCTTTTCGAATTTTTACAGCTTCAAACTGGTTTTCAGTTAACGTAAAGGTAATACTCAGAATCAGCATCAAAAAATCCAACCATTGATGTGTATATGAAGCCGTTTGGAGAGACCTTGTACTTTCAGTGGAACAGTTCCTATCGGACTTTGTAGCACAATACATTCCCTATAACATACAAGTGGTGAGAATTTTCGGCATCTCTTTGTCTCCCCATAAACTTCCTATCCGTGAAATTGTTCAGTTTCTATCAGGCTTTCGAATGAAATATTGCACGAACAGAACGGATAAAATTCGACTGAGTTATAGTCAAAGTTCTAGAGATGGCTCATTTTCACAAATTATCGCTGGTGCTAACTTTGTAAATTCTATAACTCGGTCAGATCAAGTCTGAAGAGGCGAACAATTTATTCATAACTCCAGTTTTGATTGTAAAATCGAATAAG